ATTATGTATTAAATCTGATACAATTAATATATAATTATATAAAAAAAATTCAATAAAATAATTGTGTCTGTAATTGAAATTTGAAAAGTAAATTCGAATAAGAGAAATGTATTAACCAAATAAGTTTATCTATAAATATTGTTACAAAAAGTTATCCGAAACAGAATAAAACAAAAATATAATAGAAAGCTATTTATCCAACAATTCTATTTTCAATGATAAATAAAACAAAAATAAAATTGAAATAAATTAACGAACACTTTGTATGCAATCGATTATGTTTGATATTTTGTATAGTTTTGTTGATCTTCAAATCCAACCATAATCAAATGATTGTGATCAATTCAACAAAACCCTTTTCAAATGATTTTCAAAAGAAATCACCAAACAAATTAATCCCACAAATGATGAACACGACAATTTGCAAACGAAATGTAAAAGAGAGAGTGAGAGTACACAAGAATTTATTTAGGAAGTTCCCCAATCAGCCTCGCTATGGGTACGTCTACCCTCAATTTGAATTCAAATTGAGATCATGAAATTAACCTTACTTTACAAAAGTAGTTTACACGAGAAATATAGTAATGCAACCCTATAAACCCTAAGTTTGATGTTGATCCTAACAATTTCTTTTCCCTTGATATGAGTTTGATCAAGTCACCCAACAATGTCAATTTGACTTACCGTCTCACGCTACTCCTTTGCAACAACTGCAGCCCTTCAAAGCCTCCACTCAATTGAATCTAAATTGCACAATTGTTGTAACCTAAGATTTACCAAGATGATCCAATGTCTCACACTACTCCTTTAAGAGAACCGCATCCCTTCAAAGCCTTCAATCCATCGAATTCAAACTTGAGTAAAATCACACTTTGGTTTTTTTATTTGAAACACACCTAATATCTCAACCCAATTTACAATGCCAAAGCTAAATTTGACCTTATCAACTTGATTCTATATGGCACCCAAACAATGAATGATTATGTGTACTTTATTGTTTGTATGCAGAAAACCAAGGTTGAAGATAATCATTACTCTTAGTATGTTCTAGGTTTCGTTTATAATTTTACCAAAATCATTGAAAAAGAATTATGCATGTAGCGGGTATATATATGTGAACAAGTATGAAGCAAAAGGAATGGAAAATAATGCAATTTTTCAAGATTTTTGATGCATAGGTTGACCTACGTAAGTCATGTGTCGACCTATACAGGTCATGTGTCGACTTGTAGAGGCGACACATCAAACGGAGCATACATACTTTCATACTGCAGCACATGTGCCGACCTATAGAAGAAAAAATCTTCTATGTGTCGACCTATAATCGTACGTGTCAACTTGTAACAATGTTTTTCACATTTTTTGATGCATAAAATCATTTCTTGATGCATGAATATTTTCTAATCCTTTTTCAACATGTTATAATGCATGAAGAAGTTTCTTGTGACTTAACAATGTTTTGTTCTTTAAGTTCTTATACAGGTTGCATAATAGATGAAGTTGAGTTCATAATATGTTATGTAGATTGTTTGTTTCACTAACCCTTCACTGAAAATACATTTCATTTAAATTGACATAGAAACTTATAATATGAGAATTAAGTTGTATTTGAAAACCAACTTATATCAATCAATGTTTTCCAAATTGCATCTGTCTCATCTTTCATCTCACGTTGTTTAGCATATAGAATGTGGGTCAATAACTTGATTCCTTCATCACATTCATATCTGCTTTTACGGTTTAATTTGAATAATAATAATTTATTGATATTATTCAAATTAAACTAGAATATAAGGTATTTATGTCATGAAGGACTTAGACCAATGAAGCACATTCTATATGTTAAAGAGCGGGAAATGAATGATGAGACGCGTGCAATTTGGAAAACAGTGGCTTGTTTAAGTTGATTTTCAAGAATAGTTTAATTTTCAGATTATATACTTCTTCATCAATTTGAATGGTTGTATGTTACTGTGAGGTTTATTGAAAAACAAGCAATCTACATATTATATAATAAACTCTGAGTACTTTCAACAACAGTTATTTATTTTAACAAGTATTTGATGATTGTTCTTAATTATGACCGTTGTTGTATAGTTATAATATATAATTTAACCACGATTGTTATAGAAGACCATGGTTATATACATAAAATGCACTGGGAATCGAACTTGAGACCTTTAATAATTACAACGGTTAGGTTATCAACCGTGATAATATATCGCGCGCTTTCAGGTTTCTACAATGGTCATAAGACTGTGATTGTAAGTAGCGCATATACAACCACACCTTATGTATCAACGGAAGGTCACACGTGATGTTATCCCTTTTCCAACCGTTATTGAATATGTTTTCCATAGTAGTGTTAAGAAGAAAGATGGTAGCATGAGGTTATGTACTGACTATCGACACTTGAACAAGGTTACTATCAAGAATAAGTATCCACTTCTAAGAATCAATTATCTGATGGATCAATTGGTTGGTGCTTGCGTGTTTAGCAAGATTGATTTGCATTTAGGTTATCATCAGATTCATGTGATGTTAGACGATATTCCGAAGACTGTGTTCAGGACGAGGTATGGTCACTATGAGTATTCAGTGATGTCGTTTGGCGTGTCTAATATGCATGGAATGTTCATGAAGTACATAAATAGAATATTGCATCCACACTTATATTAACTTGTGATTGTGTTCATCGATGATATTTTGATATATTCTAAGTTTAATGAAGAGCATGTAGAGCATCTGAGAATTGTATTGCGAACCTTGAAAGAAAATAAGTTATATGTGAAGTTATCTAAGTGTGAGGTCTATTTGAAGGAAGTAAGTTTCCTTGATCATGTGATATCTAGTAGTGGTATCATAGTGGATCCATCAAAGATAGATGCAATGTTACAATGGGAAACTCTGAAGTCTGTTATTGAGATTAGAAGTTTTCTCTATTTGGCTGGTTACTACAGAAGGTTTACCGAAGGATTTTTGAAGTTGGAATTGACTTCGACTTGGTTGACTTTAAAGGGTTAATCTTAAGTGTGGAGTGTTCAATGTAAAGGGATTTTTCAAGAACTTGAGAAGAAGCTAACGTCGGCTATAATGTTGATTTTGCCGAGTCCAAGTGAATCCTTTGTTGTGTATTGTGATGCTTCGAAGAAAGGAGTAGGTGGTATGTTGATGCAGAATAGTCAGGTTGTGGATTATGCTTCCTGGTGCTTGAAAGTTCATGAGAGGAATTATCTGATGCATAATCTAGAGTTGACAGTCGTGGTGTTTGTGTTAAAAATCTTGTTGAATTATCTATTTGGTTCCAAATTTGAAGTGTTCAATGACCACAAGAGTTTGAAGTATTTATTAGATCAAAAAGAGTTGAATATGAGGCAGAAGAGATGGTCCAAATTTATAAAGGAATATGATTTTGGGTTGAGTTACCATCCTGGTAAAGCCAATGGCATAGATGATGCCTTGAGCAGGAAGTCATTGCATATGTCAATGCGTATGGTTCGAGAATTGGAGTTAATCGAGCAATTTCGAGATCTGTGTCTGTTGTGTGAAAGTACTCCTAAAATTGTAAACTTGGGTATGTTGAGGCCGACTAGTTTTATCTTTAAAGAGATCAGAGAAGGTCAGAAAGTCAATTTGGGATTGGTTGACTGGATAGTGTTAATCAATCAAGGTAAGGAAGGTGATTTCAGGATAGATGAGAATGGTGTGATGAGATTTAGAGACAGAGTATGTGTACCTGTGGTTTGATTTTTCATCCTAGTGCTACTAAAATGTATCAAGACTTGAAGTTTACCTAGCCAAGAATGAAGAAAGACATAGTCAAGTTTGTTTACGCGTGTTTAACTTGCCAGAAGTCGAGGATTGAGCACTATAAGTCGTCAATATGCAACCGTTGAGTATTCCTGAGTGGAAGTGGGACAATACTTTCATGGATTTTGTGACAAGTTTGCTGAAGACGATGAAAGGGAATGATTAAGTTTGGGTTGTAGTGGATAGATTGAATAAATTGGCTCATTTCAATCCAATTAAGATCAATTATCCTTTATAGAAGTTATTCAAGTTGTATATTGAGAATACTATTAGCCTGCATGGTATTCCTTCGAGTATTGTGTCGATAGGGTTCAGAGATTCACATCGAGATTTTGCTAGAGTTTTCTGAAAGTGTTGGGTACTAAGTTGAAGTTGAGTTCGACTTATCATCCGCAGACCAATGGTTATACAGAGAGGACTATTTAGTCTTTGGAAGACTTGCTGAGAGCTTGTGTTTTGGAGGAGGGACGTGTCATACCCTATTTTTTCTCCTTGATCATTTATCCATTTATCATTTTTGGTTTAACCTATTTCTTTCTTACCATATCATTATCATTCTTTTTTTTGTGGCATTTTTTAGAAGTCATGTGACACTTTAAAAAAAATTTACTACACCATTATTTATTCTTTATCATCCTAAGTTCTCACACCTAATGTTTTCAAATGACGTCTTATTGTTTTGAAAGCCATTTGAAAAATAAATGCTGGTGATCAAAGAGGTTTTGGACGAATTTTGTGGGATATCTGGGAAAAAGATTAGCTATGAAAATCCAGCGTCCTCTTCTCCAAGCATATAGATGTTATGACTAGAAAGCTGGTTGTGAAAGTGGAAGGCCTCAAAGAAACCAATCATTTAGGTCTTTTTCTTAGATGCCCATCACAGGAAAGAGTCCAAAAGAGAGAGATTTCTAACACATCCTTGATAAAGTCAAAGCAAAATTAACTATCTAGAAAGCTAAACACCTATCAATGGTCGGAATAACTATTCAAGTTAAGGTAGTTATAGAGACCATCCCTACTTATTCAATGATGAGTAATATTGTCCCTAAAAGTTTCCTCAAAGAGTTTACGAAACTATAGAGAAATTTCATATCGGGGGACATGGATGGAAATAAGCATTTACATATGGTTAACTGGGACAAAATCACCAAACCTAAGAGGGTGGGCTAGGTTTAAGGAAACTAACCCACATGAACAAACCATGTTTGGAAAAGCTTTTCTGGAAGTTTTACAAAGGAGAAAAAGAGTCTTGGTGCAATGTGTTGCAGGGAAAATATGGTAGAAAGAACCTAACTGGTGGGGTAGAAGAGGCTAAAGCTCAAGATCCAAGCTTGTGGAAAACCCTTGTCAAAACTTGGACTCTGTATGGGAATAGGAGGATGTGGACTATTGGAAATGGTGAAAGTGTGCATGCATGGAACATTTGCTGATTTTCTCAAGGAATTACTCTAAAGAATCATATGCATGGTAGCATGAATGGTTGCCAAAGTACTAAAATAGTTGAACTCATTGATAAGGATGGTGAATGGGAGTGGCACATGCTACAAGGTTGGTTCAATCAAGACATCCTTAAGAAGATAGTTGTGATTCATCCTCTTAGTAGAGACATTGGAGGTGATGTGTGCATCTATGAAGACCTCAAAAATGGGACCTTTTTAATATCTGATACTTATAAAGAGATAAGTGACATAGGTAATTCTTCTACCACCTCAAAATGGATGAAAATTTAGAAAATGCATGTACATGAACAAGTGAGAATGCTTATTTGGTAAATTCACCATAAAGTTTTGAAAATTAAACAAGCTTTGGCCATTAGAAATATAATCAAAAGTGTATGCAGCAGAATGATTTGGATGAAACAATACTTCATACGTTAAGAGATTGCAAAATTGTGAGGAATATTTGGCTTGTACTAGTGCACAACAAACACGGGGAGAAGTTCTTCACAATGAGTGAACAAAAGTGGATAAATTTCAACATGACTAAGAACATAAATCAATATGACGACAAGGATTAGCAAGAGATATGGACAACTGCTTTCCATTGCTTATGGAGAAATCAAAGAATGTATGCTAATGATTTTATTATGCCACATGACATGGTGAGAGAAATACATGATCAGACTCAACATTTTATAAGAAGCATAAAAATCTTGAGGAAAGCAATAATGCACACCAAAAGCAACATGGAATAAGTCATAAAATGGCATTCTGCTGAAGCTCAATGGGTGACATTGATCACATATGAGGTTGTCTGTCACGATCTTAACGTAGGTTTCAGAGGGATAATTAGGGATAACAAAGGCAAATGGAAAGGTGGATTTACGAAAATGTTGGACAGATGCGACGTGATGAATGCTGAGCTATGAGGCATACTCGAAGGAATCAAGATAGTCCACAAGAAAAGGATTGATCGGGTTTAGGTGCATGTAGATTTGAAAGAAGCTTACAAGGTAATCCTGCGAGAGAGTTGTCACGTGGTGGCAGACACGAGCTTGTTTAAGCTAATTCACAATGAGATAAACAAGTTTCAGTATAATAAATAACACTTTTCATGATGAAGCTTTCACCTCAAACAATATATAACTGAGGTATAAAGTCAAGGCGCGTTATTTTTTATTATTTAAAGAAATAAAAAAAAACATCAATTTCCTAGGTGAAAAAACAACTCAGTACAAACTTCGATTTCTAGCTATTGATTTCCAGCTATCGCAGTTTATGATTTTATTTGTTTATAAGTGTAAAAAATGTTATAACCCTTCAGTTTTATATTTACAGAGGTATGAAATAATAAGATTTTACCATAAAAGCACACGTTAAACAGATCCTACCTTAATCCTTACTTATATGAAGCCGCCTGAAACTCGCAAGCATCACTCTTTGGGATGGATTGCAAGACAGAAAAATCTGCAATGTTCTTCTATCTTGAACAAACTATTTTTTCTTCTCTTACAATTTATCTCACATAATGGTGTTCATGTTGTCGTTGTTGTATTTTTTGGAATAATCCTCAGTTAAAAAAGGGTACTCAGTTGATAGATTGCAAGTGCAGAAAAGCTTTTTCTGCTTCAAGTTACCTAAAGAAAGAAGCTTAACCAACAATGAAGTGAGCTCAAGCTTTGAAAAGATCTCAGTTGATAGATTGAAAGTTCAGAAAATCATTTTTGCTTCAAGTTAAACAAAAAATTAAGCTTAACCAACAAAAAAGATAACTAGTTCAACCTTTGAAGAGTAATTAGTTGATAGATTGCAAGTGCAAAAAATCATTCTTGTTTTAAAAAATTGTTTTAATGGGTATGCAACAAACTTTGGATTTCAACGAAAATTTGTTGTAAACAATGTTTTTTAATATTCTGTGTAAATAATGTATTTTTTAAAAAAAAGAAATAGTCACCTCGGTTTTATTTATCACCGAGGTGATAGTTAATATAAAACCTCGGTATAAAAGCGAGGTGATTAGTAAACATATTTTACTTTTAAAGCACTCGTTAAACAGATTTTACCCTAATACTAACTTATATGAAGCCGCCTCAAAGAGAGAAAATATTCACCACCGTTCATTTCTATCATGAGTTGTTATTATATATTTTACAATGTATTTTTAATATTCTGTATAAACAATGTAATTAAAAAAACAGCTTATCCACCTCGGTTTTCTTCTTGGACGAGGGGATAGTTAAACATTTTTTTACTATTCGTCCTTAAACAAATATTTGTTATCCATTTAATGTTTATCAACGCTTGAGAATCTTCCATTAGTGATCCGCGTGAAACCTAAGAGACATTCGTTATAAAAGCATATTGAATATAAAAAATCTAACCTAAATGAAACATGAAGTGCTTGAAGACGTTTGGAAAAGTTCTCGATGATGGATTGAAGAGTAGAAAATTACTTGGGTTTAAGGTTTGTTTTCTTAAATATTTATTTGAGCACAAAATCATATATTTGAATATTGATTTTATTTATCTAACTTTTATTTTGTTTTGCTTCAGAATCAAATGCATGCAAGATCCGTTGAGCATAATCTTGAATCCAACATTTGATCTTCTCCAAGATTCAATAATTCAAAGATCTAAAATCTAGATCTTTAGAAAATTTGATTTTTACCTTGTTCTCTATGGAATTTGACTTTTATTTCAAACAATGTAATATTCTTGATAAACAACATAATATTCTGTGTAAACAATGTAACAATTTAAAATAAAAAAAATATAATCCCTCGACTTTCAAGATAAACCGAGATGAAATATACACTAGTTTTGAAAATAGTAAAAATGTTGTTGTTGGGGTTCAAATCCATGAACATTTAACTTCACCTCTTGATTTTAATAACACTAAGGTGATAAGTTGCAAGTTTTCATGTCGTCTTCTATCGCCTCGCTTTTATAGTTAAGATATTATGCATTTCACCTTCAAGGTAATAAGCGTTTTTTATGGTAGTGTGTATTGCAGTCTGCATAAATGCATGTGTTTAGGGAGACCAACAAGTGTGCTAACAGATTGAAAAAATAGAAACAAGTAACAATGTATAAGTAGTATTGATGAATGCGTTAGAAAAATGTATAAAATGTACATTTATGACATGAGAGCAACCTCCTTTAGGAGAATCTTTAAGAGAATAGTTAGTATGTAACTCGTTGTGCTTTGACCCTCTTCTTTAAAAAAATACATATAAAAAAAGAACGAGAAGAGAAAAATTCAAAATTGAATAAGAATTATCACATATTCAAATACATTTTTATTATTTCTCATAAAAATTAAAAGATAGTAACACATCATATAATATCAAAATTAATATAAAAAAAAATTCTCTCATTGTATTCTTGTATATTAATGTATATTTTAATAGTTACATAAAAATCTTCGGTCAAAAAAATATACATAAAAATCAATCATTATTGTTTTCCATCTATTTATTTATCTATAAATATCAGTTTAATTACTACTAGCCTCTTTTTCTCCCATTGTTTACGAATAGAATTTTGCTATTCTTACACTTATTTGTACACCTACACCTATGAATAGTGTATGTCAAATATATTAAAAAAATAACAACACAAAAACTAGCAGCATTGCATTTCAGTTGTAGGGCACGGTGCAATACAAATATAACAAGTTTGCCATTTTTTTGTGGACCATAGTGACATAAAATAAAAAATATTTTCTGTGGACCAAAATGTGTTTGAATAGCACAGCCTCCAAATATTTTTTTTAAACAAAAAATAAAAAATTATTATTTTAATTAACTTTTTTATTTTTAAATTAAATGATATTGACATAAAATTATGTGATTAACCAAATTCATAACTTTATTAACTAATCTTATACATTGTATTAACCAACTTCATTGACGGTTAAAAATTACTTTTAATATCTGGACGCGTATTAATCAATTTTATAACTTCATTAACCAACTTTTTACACTGTATTAACCAACTTCATTTCACTATTTTAAATGTATTGTTCACGCACTGTTCACGTATTATAAATATTATTTTTTATTTATTAAAAAAATATAAATACTGTTCACTGTATAAATACGATACACAGTATTTAGTGTAAATATTTGATGTACAAAATGGCGTAGGAATAACAAAGCTTTTACAAATATATTCTCCTCCCACACTAGTACTAGGATACTAAAATAAGGTAGAAGCTGTCTATAAATATCAGTTTAATTACTACTAGCCTCTTTTTCTCCCATTGTTTACGAATATATTCTACTCCCACACTAGTACTAGGATACTAAAATAAGGTAGAAGAAGATACAAGATGGTGCTTTTTATTTATTTATTTTATACTAAAAAGCTGATGTTTCTTACTACTTTAACATGGCCTTTGTCCTATGTTTAACCTGAAAAATAAAATTTTACAATAGAATTGGATAGTGTCATGCACACTTGTTCGAAGATCGATGCACCAAAACATTTAATTATATTAAACGTGTCGAGTTCAAAGAAGCTCAGCAATTATTGGATTTCAAATCCGGGATACGACAAATCATGTCTTGGAGGGAGAAAGAAATATGTGGTCCTAAAATTTCCGTAGGATCTAGAATGTCATCTACTTGTGAATAGTCGAATACACCCTCAAATGAATTTGTACTGGATACTGACTAGGTAATTACTATACAATTACTATTCTCCAATGGTGAAGATTCCCACAAAAAGTTTAGAAATGTGGACACTTTTCAACCTGGTGGACACATGCTTGTCTTTAATGTTGTTTCTCATATTCATTCTTTATAGTAGAATGTTATAAGCATCTTACCTCAAGTGTGACCTCAATATATATGTACTTAAAATTTGAACATTTCCAATTTAGGATTACAATGGTGGATGGATTCTATAAACTTGAACAATGGTTCTGAAATGTGTAATACCTCAATTTTGTTGCATCTTAAAATTGTATGTATTTTTTAAAATTTATTTTTATATACATCAACATGATCATTGTATTTAATCATGTACTTTTCATTAGTTAAAAAACAATTCATCTGCGTATATTTAAATAAAGTTAAAAATTAAAGATTTGACTTTTTAATCTTGATCAAATATTTTCGTCTTGTTTACATTGTTCTAATGATTTTCATCTGCATCTTGAATCATTCATTAGCTTGCGAAGGTCAAAATCAATAGTTTAACTTCTTCATGTCACTACAAAAAAAATTGAATCCTGCCACGTGAAATTCACTTCACAACAAGGAAAATCGCTTCACAAACTGATATTAGCGACGTGACCAATCACGTGGCAGGAGGACGTGTGGCAACTTTGTTGCCACGTGAAAATCACGTCACAACTTTGCCACGTGATTTTCACGTCACAACAAATAAAACAATATTTCAGCCCCAGCAGGCGTAGCAGGTGTGTAAGAAAGTTGTGACGTGATTTTCACTTCACAACTTGTGACGTGATTTTCACTTCACAACTTGCGAAGTGATTTTCACTTCACAACAGAATATTAAAAATAAATTTAATATTCTGTTTTTATATTTTATTAATATTCTGTTTTTAATATTCTGTTTATAACCAAAAAAACAAATAAAATATTAAAAATAATATATTTCTGTTTTTAATATTTTATTTTTAAATATATTATTCTATTTCTAATTAATAACAAAAATCTGTTTTTAATAACAAATAATAATAATAATAATATAAATATAATATTATTTCTATAAAAGATTAAAAAAAAGATATTTAGTTTTTAATATTCAGTTTTTAAAGTAATAAAACATAAATGAATTTAATAACACATAAAAATTAAAAATATTGTTAATATTCTATTTTTAATATTGTTACTATATATAAAAATTTGGTTTTAGTACACATAAATATTAAAATAATAAAAAATTAAAAATAAATTTAATATTCTGTTTTTATATTTTATTAATATTCTGTTTTTAATATTTTATAATTAAAAAATAAATAAAACATTAAAAATAATATATTTCTGTTTTTATCTTTAGTCTTTTCTTTAAAAAAGAAAAAATTTCAAAAAAATAAAATAAAGGGAGCTTTTGTCATTAAATAAGAATCGAATAAAATTATATTGTTTTTTATTATTGTTTAGATATATTTTTAATACATTCACATTATACCAAATATTCACTTTTTTCCTAGACATTACATGCCACGTCCATTTTCACGTCATGCATAATAATAATAATAATAATAATAATAATAATAATAATAATAATAATAATAATAATAATAATAATAATAATAATAATAATAATAATAATAATAATTTTTTTGGATCAAATAGTAAACTTATTTCAAAAGAACGATACAACACAGGCCGATCCAACGATCAAGGCACAACAAATAGACAGGCTGACAAGAAAGTCAAGCACAACTAAAACATATCAAGTTACATTTCTCATACAAAACCTAACAAACTTTTGATTGGTCTTCACACACCAAAACACATTTTGAATAATTTCAGTGCTTCGAAGCTCCTTGGTATTACGATTTTGGAAAATAACTTGGTTGTGAAATCCAAATCGAGTACACAATTTCAACAAGTGCACACTTTAATAGTTTAGCTCTACTACCTTTACCTTTTGACATGCTGTTACACCACTACAACTCAATATCCCAATGTTGCGGAACATGATTATCTCCAACTAAGCAAGGACTTGGCTCCAAATTCTTTTAGTTTCTTCGCATTCAAAGAAAAGGTGGTTACATGTCTCATGATTCCCACATTAGATGCATCTTTCATCTGATACAATCCCAAACTTACTCAATCTATCATTGGTTGGTAATCTCATTTGACAACTCAACCATAATGTAAAAACAGTACTTGGTCTAGCAATGTTCCCAAAGAAGATTTTTCTCCATAACACTTTGGGTTTAGTACCTTATAACATCTTATACATCTCACGAGTCACATAATTTCCAGAAGTTTAGAAATCTCCCCAAGTGCAAAATTATTCCACAACAACTTCCCAATAGTAGTTTTATTCCAATTCGAGTGGGCAATGGGATTCCAACCACCAACAGAGACTGGGCCACACATATGCTCCCACGAAATATGAGCTTTTTTCGAAGGACTATCTCTACCAGTCTAGAGGAACTTCCTGCAAATATTCTTAATATGGTTAATGACTTTCTTGGGGAGAGGGAATATTTGCATCTAATAGTTGGCAATATAAAATAACATACTCTTCACTAATTGCATTATGCCAACATATGGTAATAGTCTCGTGCTCCAATGATTCAGCCTCTTCATCATCTTGTCAATCAGAGGTTGGCACATAGTAATTGATAGTTTCCTACTGCTAGAGGAACCCCAAGGTACTTAAAAGGCATGCTACCAGTGTCAAACCCAGTTTCCTTATTGATTTGCAGCTTAGTCGTATTATCCACTCCTCCATAGTAAATTTTGCATTTAGGAATGCTAGCTTTAAGGCCACTTGCTGCTGAGAGTTCTCTGAACTTGTTCATCATAAGCTTGATAGATTCCACACCATCTCTTACAAAGAGTAGTAAATCATCAGCAAAGCAAAAATTAGTGATTTTTAGCTTGTCACACTTTGGATGGAAGTTAAAGTTGGGAATAAGATCAAGACATTGCATAGTCCTATGGATGTATTCCATTACCATGACAAAGATAAGAGGTGAGATTGTATCACCTTGTCTCAATCATCTTCTAGATTTAACAATCTTAGAGGGAACACCATTGATCGAGAAACGATAAGATATAGTTGTTACACAAGCTACAATCTAGTTAATGATGGTTTGAGGGAACCCAAACTCCTTCATGATGTGAATAAGAGCAAACCATTCAATTGTATTGTAAGCCTTTTGTATGTCCATTTGGATCATACATCTAAGGGATATATTCTTCTTGTTATACCCTCTAATTAATTCCTGAGCCAACATTATGTTATCATGAATGACTCTCCCTAGCCCAAAAGCTGATTGACTTCCATCAATAACTTCATGTATAACTTCACCCAACCTGTTAGTGAGGACAAAATTACTTTTACACAAGACAAAAACAAAGTTATGCAAAATAATTACTTTTATTATATTACATTATATCCATTTTTACATCAAATGATATTACAAAAAATAAAGAAAAAGAGAAAATCAACATTTAATTTGCAGCTTCCCCACAAGTTCATGCTTGTTGCGCCTTTACCATCATCAATTTCCTCCTCATGCCATCACTATCAGTCACATGAAAAAAACCAAAGATGAATCAGTCATCAATACATGATACACATACATATTACACATACATAAAAGACTCAGGACCATAAATTCATGCGTTTTCCACCTAAAGCAAAGTAACATTTCATTGAAATTTCACTCGCATTTCAGTAAACATAAATCAAATGAAATACCAATTCATCAAAACATGAAAACACATTTAATCCAATCAAAACCCTTGTTCAAAACTCTCACACGGATTGCATAAATTCTCCCTCGAAACCCTCTCTATCAAACTCAAAATTCCCTCCTAAAACCTCACCCTTCCACTCCTATATAAACACCTTTCTGATCACTAATTTTCACACACTCAATAGCCCACAAAATCTCTTCCCAAATTCATTCAGAGCTCAACCTAAGGTTGCTCAAAGTTTCACACTGAAACTCTAAAACGACCTGAGCTGATTAGCCTATCTAACACAGCAAGCCATCGAAGTACACAAACAAAAAGGAAAAAGGAAGAGTACGAGCTCGAAGTAAGTAGAGAAGACTATTAGAAAAAGGTGACTTATCTAGACAGGGGAGGGGTGAATAGATTCCCAAAAAAAATTCTTTACGAAAAGTGTTTTAAAAAAACAATGGCTAGCGGAAGTGAATTGGCTCAATTCATCTAAACCAAACCGCTATCGAAAAGCTCAAATATGCGTATGTGAAAACAAATCAAAGATAATGATAAGTTATCCAATCAATAAGTTTTAATCACAATCTCTTGAAATCTACTTAACAAGCAATTCTTTATCCAATGACAAGTCACACAAAAAATCAATTGAGACAAAATATCAAACACCTTGTGCACAATCAATTTTGTTTGGAAATTTGTATAATTTTTGTTAATCTTAAATTTCAACCATAATCAAAATGATTATGATCAATTCAACAAAATATTTTTCAAATAAATTTAAAAAGAATTTTCCAAACAAATTAGTCACACAAATGATGAACTTAACAATTTACAAATAAAATGTAAGAGAGAGAGAGAGAGAGAGAGAGAGAGAGAGAGAGAGAGAGAGAGAGAGAGAGTACATAAGGATTTGTTTAGGGAGTTACCTAATCGGCCTCTCTATGGGTGCATCTACCCTTAATTTGAATTCGATTTGAGATCATGCAATTAACCTTACTTTGAAAATGTATTTTACAAGACAAATGCAACCCTACAAACCCTAAGTTTGATGTTGATCCTAACAATTTATGTTCCCTTGATCTGAGCTTGATCAAGTCATAAAATAATTCCAATTTGATTCCCTGTTTCATGCTACTCTTTTGCAAGAACCGCAACCCTTCAAAGCCTTTAATCGATCGAATCCAAATTACGAATTATTGTAAACTATGATTTACCAAGATGATCCATCATCTCACGCTACTCTTTTGCAAGAACTACAACCCTTCAAAGCTTTAACTTAATCGAATCCAAACTTGAGTAATCGTGTCCAAAACCTTCAAATCCCCACTTTGATCTTGAAAGAAAACCTCATCTTTGTTTTCTCATTTGAAACCCCCCCTAAGATCTTAACCCAATTTACAATACCACAAGCTAAATTGGACTTTATCAACTTGATTTTAGATGGAACCCAAACAATGAATGATTATGTGTACTTTGTTTGTATGGGTGCATAAAACCAAGGTTGAAAATGAAGAAGACACTTAGTGTGTTTCATGTTTCGTTTATAATTTTACCAAAATCATTGAAAAGAAATGATGCATGAAGTATTTATATGCATGCATGTTAGGAGGCAAACGAATTCAAAAGATTTGAATAAAATTGTGAATTTTTGGAAAATTTAGTTAAACAGGTCGACCTATGAAACCTATGTGGTAACCTATTCGATGTATGTGCCGACGTGTATAGGTCATGCGTCGACCTATAAAGGTCATGTGCCAACCTGTAGATGCGACACATCTAGCAGAGCATGTAACACCCCCTTTCTATACTCCCAAATAAACAATTAAATCATTTACACACTTAATAAAAATTTTCATCAGAGTATAAATTAACACATGGTATAAAAGAGGTACGTCATATTATCTAGTAAATTCAAAATACAAACAACACCTGCTCATAAAGATATGTAACAAAGGGTAAATCACCATAAAGGAACTTAGTCCTTAAAACCCACACATCAATATTTAGAATAAAAGCGGAAACATCTAAACATTGAATCACTTCATTCATATAAACATTGTATACATCAACAATTTAATTCAAGTCATAAGTCATGTTTACAAAACATTCCAACAGATACATACACAGATGTATCACAAAAGAACCAAAGAATTCCTAACTACCCGGTGCTACATATCAGAGCCAACCGACCAAAAAGAACGAAGCCACGCTTCCCAAAAGACCTCCAACAAACTTACTCTGCAATGCCTCACAGAGCATCATAAAACAGCAGAAGGGTGAGAAATATTATCATAACAAACAATGCATATAATATATATATATATATATATATATATATATATATATATATATATATATATATATATATATATATATATATATATATATATATATATATATATATATATATATATATATATATATATATATATATATATATATATATATATATATATAAACACGTAACACATTTCTCACCGCAATCCATCAAAATTCGATCATATATACATCGCAACATATATATAATTCACCTAGCATATCCACCATGCAAACATTCACCTCTAAGCATATACAATTATGTTTAGTTCAACACTTCACATAAACATACACAGTTATGTTCATTACACCAATATATCATATGAAGATAATAATGCACTCACGACTCTATGCAGATGCAAATGCGGTACTGACTCATTCAGCAGGTTCAATTGAAGAACCAAATGGAACCATCGCTCGTTACCGAAGTAACTCCCCGTCGGGCCTACGATGTTCACCCATCGCTCACACCCCACATGGGTACACGATGTTTTAGGATTGCTCACACCCTACACGGGCACACAATCCGATTGCTCACACCCCACAAGGGCACACAATCGTTTTGCAGATTCTCCATGGAATCAAAAATAAACCATCGGTCACACCCCACAAGGGCACACGAGGTTTCTGCAGATCCTCATAGGGATCAAAAATAAACCATCTCTCACACCCCACAAGGGCGCACGAGGTTTCTGCAGATCCTACGCGGGATCAGACACACAAGAATGCAATCATGATGCTTCACATGCAAAACGACCCATACACTCTTGAAAGGCATACATATTCACAATTATACTCATGCCTTCTTCACATCATACAAATACATACAATTATGCACATTAACATCAATCTCATCATGTATTTTTACTCAATTCAAACAAATGCACAAAATTGCCAAACGGCCACATTTCACACTTCACGATTCACAATCTAGGACTCACACCATACCACAACATTTCATATCACAACATACAACTATGCATAATAAGAAGGATTAATCATACTTGAATTGAAGAATCGACATGAAAGTGAAAACATAAGAAAATAATATCCTGCTACGCTCGCTACCCTGCTCGCCTAGCGAGCTCCTAGCGATTGCTCGCTACCTGTTCGCGTAGCGAACAAGCTCGCGAAGGCAAACAGAAGCCACTAACTTGATTCGCTATCCCAGTCGCTCAGCAAAGGCCTAGCGAATGCTCGCCACCCCCCTTCGCTACCAGCGAAGAACACCAAAACCATTCTGCCAAAGTCTGGGACCGTTCGCTACTGGCTCGCCACAGCGAATGCCCTGCGAATGCTCGCGACCCGCTCGCCTAGCGAACGTGCTAGCGAGGGTCTGGGAACTCAGAAATCCCCACTGTCCAAAACTCTGAAACTCATCGAAATCTACCGATTCAATCCCAACTCATTCTAGCAGCCTTAGTCCAACATTCCTCGATTAAACTCTACCACTCATTCTCATTCTTAACCGTAAAAACTCGGTTTCTATCGATTAAATCAAATTCAACCTAAAACTGAAAATGAGTAAAACTCTCCCCAATCCAAAAGCAAACCAATAGAAACATACATAATCATACAAATCGAAAGAATAATAAAGTTTCATACCCTTACCCGATTAATCGAAGCTTAGAAGTTTGATTCTTGATGATTCTAGGTTTTCTCCTCTTCCTCCTCTTTTCTCTTCTCTTCTTCTTTCCTTTCTATTTCTTTCTATCTCTTTTCTTTTCTCTCTATTTCCACTTATACTCTTTCTATTCTATTTCTCTCAAATATCTACTAATTAAGGATTATGTAAAACACCCTCTAATTAATTCCTAAAACTCTCCGAAAAACGAAATAACAGAATATGCACACATAACATATTAATGTTCAAATTCCACAATTAAATAATAATCAATCAAAATAAATTAAAAGACTCAACAAAAATGGGAAATTCAGAATCGGG